ACGTTGAACTTTATTGATGGGTGACGCACATATTGAAGATTTTGTCAGGACAGGTTGGATTGGAAGCACATTGCTGTCGCTTTATTTTTGGTAACTCCTCATTTCATTTTCTTATTTCTTTCTTTTACCCTAAATCCTGATTTTTAACCATAATTTTAGTTGATTTTAGTTTACTTTGTTTATTATGAATAAAAAACACATTATTATTTGAACAAATGTTTATATCATTTATGATTTCATTTTTCGCATTAATCACATTTGATTGACAAAATCTACTATCCTGCAAATATATTTTATATTTTATATAATTTTATGCTACTAATAAATAGTTGAATAAATAACATATCAATACGAAACTCGTGAGAAGGGCACAATTAATTTATGATGTATAATGATATTTTTTACAATTTAACAGCAGACTAATCTAAAAGATGAAATGATGAGAATACTTGATACTTTTTGAATCCATTGCTACATAAAGTATTTGTCCGCAGTCATCGCAAAAAGCATAATGGCAGAACAAATCTTTATTTCAAATGTTAATGAGACAAAAATCTCTTTCTTGTTTCAGAGGAAGAGAAGATAGCAACAGAGGTGGAAAGAGATTCAGCTCGACGAGTTCTTCAACCGATGAAGGTTGTTGCAGCGCTGAAGGTGATTTAGAAGAAGGCCCAAGCGGAGACGAATTGCGCGAGGCGCAGATCAAACTTGAAGAGCATAGATTAGGCCTAGATCACGATATCAGTCAACGAATTGACAGTCAGATAGTCAATCGAAGATTAAGTGATTATCAACATCATTTTGATAACCCGCTTATGGATCCTATTGATCCACCCAGTCGAACAACTTTGTTTATGGCGGGCGGCAGCGGTAGCTCGTCATCGGAACTCTTCGAGTCTAGCTTCGATTCTGGCTGTCCGCCAGATTATACAGGAACGAATTGTTTCACGAGCAGCTTACCATCTTGCACGCCACCGCCACCCAAGAGTCCATCCCCAATTGCTGGTCGAATATCCCGAGTCTCTCAGGG